AATGCAGAACATAGATGTCTAATTGCTCAAATAATCTTTATTTGATACTTTGACAATATTTCTCTATTGTTGTCAATACTTCATTTAATTATTATTTTGTTGCATACTATGTTATAAATGCACTTTTTCTTTCATCGAGTATATGAGATAGTTGTAAATTGAAACAAACCAAGGATTACTCTTTCCATTTAGTTCTGCAGCAGGTTATTTTCCAAGAGTGATCACTTCATAACCCCTTAAACCGATTTTTATTATTTGTTAATAGTTATTTTTATCATGTTCAGAAGTTGATGAATTCATAATTTTTTTTAATCTTACTAATATAATTTTATATTAAATTCACAATTATAATACTTTTGACATATTTTTAAATACACACCTTCAGAAACCTAAGGTAGTTAACGGTGCAATTCTAACATGTTGAGCAAATATCATGAGATGTAAGTTTATTTTATTTTACCATGATGATGCTTTGTGCAAAGGCCACGAAACACAATGATGGTAACTCTGCATATGCTGCTTCAGACCAATATTCTCTCCAAACACTTTCCGTACTTAAACATTATCATTTAACAAATGCATCACTTGTTTCATATCTTTAAAAATAAAACATTGGTCACTCGTTAAAACTATTGTGACACATATAAGTGTCTATTTTGTTAATTTTTTCAGAATAACTTCTCTCACCATAGCATATGTTTTAATATACAATTAAGATTAACTTAGACATATATTTCAGCTATAGATACGGAATAAATTAATTAAACATTAAATCTTGCTTACTACTGCGTTACGTAAGACTGCGTAGCAGAAGTAACATTAAATTTACAGGTTTCAACTTTCAAGGTTCTGCAAATTGCAGATGCTTGATATTTACTACCATTTGATTAAGATGCCACGCAATGCTTAGCCAAAAAGATATTTTGTACTGTGTTTTAAAATTACTACGAATTCGGTTCAGTGTTCACAGCTTTATTGGTTCAAGTAAACAATTCTAATTCAGTGTAGTGCCAACCTTTTGTTTAACTTTGTAACATATTAAAATATTCCTTAGCAGATTTTTTTTTTCAATAATGTTACTTATGCATAGCATTAAAGGCTATTATTATCTGTAGTCATCTAGAAGGCCAAAAAAAAAAGGCATTATGCATTCACTAAGCATTAATATATGTAATAACAAGAAGGAAGAAAGAAAGAAAAAGTAAAGAGAGGTATAAATATGTGTGTTTATTCAAATTAAGTCCTATATATTTTCAAGTACGAATAGGGAATGAGAATACAACTCAATTTCCACATGCAAATGTAGTTGAAAGCTTAGTGTATGCGATGTCATGTCCTGATATTTCACATGCTATGAATTTGGTAAGTAGATGTGCGCATAATACTAGAAACAAGCTGTAAAATGGATGCAAAGTAGATTCTTAGCACATTGGTTTGGCATTTGAAAGTGATGGAAACATGGCATCCAAACATTTGGGTATGCTAATTCATGATTATGCAAGAGATATGGATTAACTAAGACCTAACTGCTTATATTTTTCACTCTTGCTAAGGACTAATTAATCAACTGGAGATCCATCTTATGGTTCAAGTTTACCTTTCTTAGATTGAAGTATATGGTTGTAACTTGTAACTGAAGCACTCAAAGAGGCCATTTGGTTACATGATCTAATTAAGGAATTGGAAAGTCTTAATGACAAAATCATCTGTTTTGTGACTGTTGAAAAACAATTCAATTGGCCAAGAATCAAGTTCATCATGTTGTTAATGAAAGAATGGTTCTCTTTGAGAAATTTGATGTAGTGGAAATTAAATCCTAAAGGAGTATTTTCTTGGAACTAAAATGTTTAGAACATGAGTCAAGAAACACTAACTTTGGTGCCTAAATTGAACAAAATTGATGAATATTAATCTGTGGTGTTTGTGAGTGATAAGAAGCAAAATTAGAAAACCCCTGAAGCTTGAAAATAAGGATGTATTCATGTGTTTCGTGATAGTCAAATTAAGAACAATTTCACTTAGCAAATAATCAAGTTCAACATGCTTGGACAAAACGTATTGTCAGAGATGTTAAATTGGAATAGTTCTCTTTGAGAAGATTGGTACAACAGAAATGTTGCAGAAGATATGATAACCAATATTGAATTATTCTGTTTTAATTTGATCAATCTTCTGCAATTGAGCATAATTTTCTCCATTTCTATGAATCTGAACATTTTATCAAACTGAGCATTGATTGATTTTGAACGAAATGCATAGATTTAAGTGTGTCTGCTAACACAAATTTACAACTTCAAAAGTTAGTAATTTTTTAAAATAAGTTCGTAGTGTTATTTAATAAAAAAAATAAAAAAGAGCTTCTAATTTTTGAAAAATAACTTATACAAAATTACTCTAAATAATATTTAACTTATTGAAAGTTAACTACTAATATTTTTTAATTTATAACTTTTAAAATAATTTACACTAAAGAAATAATTATATCTCTTTTTTTAATCATTTAACACATTTTAACTAATTGTACTACTAATTTTATCAAACAACTCTTAATTTATTCAATTAATTATAAGCTACAAGCAAAGACTTTCAGTTAGTGTTACTAAAAATAATTTTAAAAAATAGTCAAAATAATGAGAAAGTTTGAAGAATAAAAATTAAATTTGTTGAAGAATTAACTCCACACCCTTCATTTCATTCTTTAAAATTCCCCACTACTGAAGAAGACAGTGATACATTGTCTTCACCTCATTTATTTTCCTTACTATTATTTTTCCTACTACAAAGTGAAGTTGATTGTTTCTACTGTCTCCTGGAACATGGAACATGGAACATGGAACCTGGAACCTGAGGTTAGTCTCTATTTCAAAATTTCTATTCATTTAGTATTTTATTTTACATAAATCTAGCATTGTGGAGTGGCCTATTAATATTATCTCACCTAACAAAATGAACCCGAAGCTCTTGGAAGTGTAAAGCTTATTAGATATGGTTAGGAAAAAGACAATTTATGTCCACGTGATGGTTTTCACCCTCTTCATCTCATCTATTTGTCCACTCTTCTCTGTTCCCTCCACTCTTTGGAACTCCTATATGCCCTTATCTATCTTAGATCGAGGACTTTCTCATCTCCATTCATCTAACTTTTTTCCAAAATAGTTCTATAATCATTGATTTTATTTTACTAAATAGGCTATTTAATAGGAATGAGATTATTATTTTATATATTTAAATTAATAAATATTCAAGGTTTTATTGGTAAGTCAAATCACATTTCATTTTTTTTTGGTTCCATATTTCGACATTGTTAATCTAGCATGTTAATTAACATGCATCTTGTTCAATATATAAGCATTATTAGTTTAAGTACGTTAATGTCATAACTTCATTAATATTTTTACATAATCTATAAAAACCAATGTATATTTTCCTATGCTAGTGATGAAAAGGAATGTACAAGAATTTTTATTTCACCTTCTTGATCCTTTAGTTTAAAGATAATATTGATGGTGTTCTAGACTAGAATTGTTATTTTTCAATATTTTGTAGAGATATTGTCTTAATTAACTTATTGTGATTATTAAACATCCTCCGAAGATAAGGATCGTGATTTGATCTTCATAAGGATAATAACTTATTATTATTGCAATATCTTTGAAAGATGTATAGGATAAAGCCTTTTTAATGTTTTACTTTCCTTATCTCATCAAAGGGTTGTAAACTTTTTCATCTACTTGGGCTGTTATTTTCCCTATTTTATCATGACACATCACTTATAAGGAAGCAATTCTTCAGGTATGATCATCCATCTAATTTCATATTTTTATAAACTTAAAATTTCTTTGCCAATTTAAGTATTAGTTTTTTTTAGTTACTTCCACCTTTCACAACCACAGCTAAAGAGTAGCAGTAGCAGAAATAAGGAGAATGAGCATAACAATCATCCATAATACCCTAAATTCTATGTAAGAGAGATAATCTTATTTAAATTTAGAACATGTACAGAATGATAAACTTAACTCGACGAATTTATTTTTTTTATGCTAACTACTCAAACTCAAGCTTTTTATAGAAAAAATAAATATATATTACCTAAATAACTACCTATTTTGGCTACAAACGGCAATGGTATAATTATATATGAACCACACCACATTCTAAATTTTATAAAGAAAAATAACATCTTGATATAAAGGTTTACTATTTTGAACAATCTGATCAATTACAATAGTCAAAACTTGAGTTAGATCAGTATTTGAGTTGAACAAGATAAAAATCCTCTTAACCCAATTGGTATGGGTTCAAGTCTCATGTTGATAAATCTTAAAGTGTTTAATACTGTTTTTAATGCCTATTTTTGTAAATAAAAAGTGTGACTATATAACCTGATCAGATTAACTCTTTTTTTTTAATGCCAATTATGATTACACTTACCAGTGGTATTTTCGTCCTTTTATTGTGAGTGATTTTCTTAGTTCTTTACATTATTCTCTTCGTGTATGGGTGTATTAGAGTCTTAGAGATTCATTTCTGGTGTATTTTTGTTCATATGTTTTGTTTCTTTAACTAAATGATAATAACTTTGCAAAATATTGTTCTCTTTTGTAAATGATGATGTTTTCTCTTGTAATTTCTTTTGTTAATTTGTTGTTACTTAACTAGGAAAACAAGAGGGAAAGCAGAGAAAAAAGAGAGGAACACAGATTTGATTATTTCCACAGACACATTATTGAAATAGACATAATTATTTACCAGTCATATTATGCTAACAAGGCTTGGCTCAATTTGTATGATTAAACAACATACAACTTATTTATTTATTTATCTATTTTTCTTTCAAAAAGAAACCGTGGATCCAGAGAGAAAGAGGCTCTTTACAAAGCTTAAAGCACTCCCCAAAACAAGTACTCTTAGACATCCCCACCTCAACCCAAAATGCTTTTCCTAAGCTTTTTGTGACAAATTTAGGACCCATAGAATAGAAGGTAGAGAGAGCCACACACACACCGAGTTTCCGAAGTCATCAAAGGCACCACCTCAATCCCTTGCCAAACCCCAAATCCAAACACACTTCAAAACAAAAAGGAAACCAACAAAGTGAAAACAATAATAATAAAAAATTAAAAAATAAAAAAGCAAATACCCCCCATTCTGCCTTGTGCTTTGGAGACTGCAAGTTCAACCTTGCTTGCAGCTCTCAAAGCTGAAAAAATATTTGCTGTATTCTGCTGCATATTACAACCCACTACCCCAAAAACACATGCTCGTCCATCCCTATATCTTTTCATCATCATCATCACCACCATCACCAAAACTACCACTTCAACCTTTCTATATATTCCTCAACTCTCTTTCCTCACTTCCTTTCACTCTTGTTCTTCTGCTCCTTCTAGTTAGTTTTGCAAAACTTAATCACAAACCATTTCTCTGACTCCATCATCATCATCAACCACAACAAAATGATCACTTTAATAGACTTCTACCATGTGATGACTGCAATGGTGCCACTCTATGTGGCTATGATATTAGCCTATGGTTCTGTGAAGTGGTGGAAGATTTTCTCCCCTGATCAATGCTCTGGCATAAACCGTTTTGTTGCACTCTTTGCAGTGCCTCTTCTTTCTTTCCATTTCATAGCCTCAAACAACCCTTACCAAATGAACCTTAGGTTCCTAGCTGCTGACACTCTCCAAAAGATCATAATTTTAGTCCTTCTTACACTGTGGAGCAATTTGACCAAGAAGGGTTGTTTGGAATGGACCATAACACTGTTCTCTCTTTCCACGCTTCCAAACACCTTGGTCATGGGCATCCCTTTGCTCAAAGGAATGTATGGTGAGTTCTCAGGGAGCCTCATGGTGCAAATTGTGGTACTTCAGTGCATCATTTGGTACACTTTGATGCTGTTTATGTTTGAGTTTAGGGGTGCTAGAATGTTAATCTCTGAGCAGTTTCCTGACACTGCTGCTTCCATTGTCTCAATCCATGTTGACTCTGATGTCATGTCATTGGATGGAAGACAACCTTTGGAAACTGAAGCTGAGATCAAAGAAGATGGTAAACTTCATGTCACTGTTAGAAAGTCCAATGCTTCAAGATCAGACATATTCTCAAGAAGGTCTCAGGGTCTTTCTTCAACCACTCCACGGCCTTCTAACCTCACCAATGCAGAGATTTACTCTCTGCAATCCTCTAGGAACCCCACACCAAGAGGCTCTAGCTTCAACCACACTGATTTCTACTCAATGATGGCTGGTGGTGGTGCCCGCAACTCCAACTTTGGTGCTTCTGATGTTTATGGCCTTTCAGCTTCAAGAGGGCCAACTCCAAGGCCTTCTAACTATGATGAAGATGGTGGTAAGCCAAAGTTTCATTACCATGCTGGTGGAACTGGCCACTACCCGGCACCAAACCCTGGCATGTTCTCTCCCTCTGCAGGGTCTAAAAGTGTTGCTAATGCTAATAATGCTAATGCCAAGAGGCCTAATGGCCAGGCTCAGCAGAAAGCTGAGGATGGGAATAGGGACCTTCATATGTTTGTTTGGAGTTCAAGTGCTTCACCAGTTTCTGATGTGTTTGGTGGCCATGAATATGGTGCCCATGATCAGAAAGAAGTCAAATTGACTGTATCTCCAGGAAAAGGTTTTTTTTTTTTTTTTTACTTTTCTTTTTCTTATAAATTGGATTGGATTTCTTAATCTTAGTATTTTTTTTTATGTTTTTTTGCTTATGTGTTTGTTTGGTTGTGGATGTTGTGGTGGTGTTTGGTAATCAGTGGAGAATCACAGAGACACTCAAGAGGACTACCTAGAGAAAGATGAGTTCAGCTTTGGGAATAGAGGAATGGAAAGGGAAATGAATCAGCATGAAGGTGAGAAAGTTGGAGATGGCAAGCCTAAAAACATGCCTCCAGCAAGTGTGATGACAAGGCTTATATTGATCATGGTGTGGAGAAAACTCATCAGAAACCCCAACACTTACTCTAGCCTAATTGGCCTCACTTGGTCTCTTGTTTCATTCAAGTATGTGATGTCTTGAGGGAAAATATCTCCATATCTTGCACATTTCAGTTGGACCATTCAATCTTGTTTCTCTTGGATTTCTTTCCATTTTGATTGATTATGGTTGAGGGTGTTGTTCCTCGCAGGTGGAATGTTGAAATGCCTGCCATAATCGCAAAGTCTATTTCCATATTGTCAGATGCTGGACTTGGCATGGCCATGTTCAGTCTTGGTCAGTATAATAGTCCCTCTCCTTGATTGTTATCTTACAAAATATTTTTAACTGAGAAATTAAAATTATCTTGTGGAGACATTTTCTTTGCTAGAAAAAGAAAAGGCAGAAAATCTTTTGTGATTCCTTGTTTATTTTGATTATTATAATAATTATTATTATTAATAAGTAAGCAAGGAAGGAGCAGTGGTGTGTGATAACAAGAGAAAAGAAAAAAGCAAACAGTATATTGTTATGATAATGTGCTGGCTCCTTTATCATTCTTTATGATCACTTTTTGCCAAGTTTGTGATGATGTGGGTTTGGTGGTGGTGGTGATGATGAAAGGTCATTCACAAAGGGTGATTGAGTGACAGTGTTGTGTGTGAGGAGAGTGGTGGTGATACTGATGGGCATGCTTTGCGTTGCTTTTCATATGAATGACAGGTCTGTTCATGGCTTTGCAACCAAGGATCATAGCATGTGGAAATTCCATAGCAGCTTTTGCCATGGCTGTGAGATTCCTTACAGGTCCAGCTGTCATGGCAGCTGCTTCCATTGCTGTTGGACTCAAAGGTGTTCTCCTACACGTTGCCGTTGTTCAGGTATGTCTTTCTCTCTATTCTCCCCCCCCCCCCCCCCCCCCCCCTCTTCGCTTCTTACCAATACAATATTCATTGCATAAGCTCCAAAATTCCTCTACATTAAATTAATACTTGTATCTACCTCTGCCATGATAACCTATTTTATTGCTTTCTATATAAAATAAGCCATTTCACTGTTCTGAATTAAACTCTAATTGGTTGAATTTTACTAGTACTTTTTTGTTAGTCAATTGGTTGAATTTTACTAGTACAAGTGTACAACGATATTCACCATTCCCCAAAAATATTTCATTGACATCATTTTTCTCCTCACACCACTCTTAGTGTATTTCACATTAAATAAAGAAAGAGAAAAATAAAATAAATTGCAAGATGTTTTATTATAAAGTGTAAAAACAACGAATGTCAAAATATCAAGATTCTTACATTTCATGAAAATAACATACCTCCTAAAAGAATTAAAAACAAAAAACAAAATTCATTTAAAAAAAAATAATGTGAAAAGTTGAAGATCTTAGTACTAATTTTGAGAATTCATATGTTGTGTGTTTGTGATAGTACAACAAACATTTGAAACCACATTTGACATGTTTGTTTGCTTGTCCTGTTTGGCATCTGATTGTCAAAAAAATATAGGCAGCTCTTCCCCAAGGAATTGTCCCATTTGTCTTTGCAAAGGAATATAATGTACATCCTGATATTCTCAGCACAGCGTGAGTATACAATTCTAGTCTACTTGATCAACAAGAACTTTCTTTACCCACCCTTCTTTTTCCTTCATTAATTTTCTTTCTCTTTTAATGCTAACCAATGAACCTTCTTTAATTCAATGCAGTGTTATTTTTGGGATGTTGATTGCATTGCCCATAACTCTAGTGTACTACATCTTGATGGGGTTGTGAATGAAAGAAATGATGGATGAAACAGAAGATTCACGTGTGGCATCCATGCAAGCTTGGTTGAGGCTTGTTGGGCATCACCAAAAAGTTCACAAAGCAATAGAAAAGCATCACGAGAATTCAATAGGAAGAACCCCAGGATCAGTTTTTTTTTTCTTTTAATTTGTATTTTTCTTTTGAATGAATTGCCCTTCCTTTGGTAAAAAAAAAAATGTAAAATCATGATTGTAGCTAATTTACAGAATCATTGTCTCGTTAAATTTTATATTATAATGTCCTTGGATTCCATGTCACTCATCAAATGAAGGAAAAGAAAGCATGCAAAACTTGGTCAAAATTGGAGTGTGTTGATAAACATTTTTCCCCTATGTTAAATTTCCTATTGTTTTTGCCTTTCATTATTTACCAATTAGCATCAAAGTCGAGGAAAAAATGAAAAAAGAAAAATGTATGGAAACAATGCTTCTTAGTGTTAAATTCTAAAACTTTAAATTTAAACATAACAAAATTATATTCTAACTACAATCAAACGATATCGTATCCCCCCATTGATAGTTTAATATAAAAAATAAATAAAATTATCTACACTATAAATATCTTTTAGTGAGGACAATCCTGTTATGTGAGAAAAAAAATTAATCTTTTTTTATAATTAAGATTTTGTAAAAAAAACTAAGAAAATAGCTAGTATTTTAATTTTTTATAAAAAATTATTTTAGCTCCTACTAAACCTTTCATTTATTATATTATTTAAAATAAATAAATTCTTCAACTAAATGCATGTTAATAAGTAAGGATAAAACTATTAAAGAGTGTTTATTTATTTATTTTATAAAATAAAAATGAAAAAATCATATAATAAAATTGTTAAAAAATACTATTTTATTTGATTAGTTAATATACTTAACACTAATAGGAAGATATAAAATTGTTTGGGGATGGTAAAACTCAAGTTGATTTAAGTCAATTTTATGTTTATTTTCTTTTATGACTCAGTTAATGATACGTCGTTTCACTAAATTTGCGGGATTGGTTACTTAAAGAAAAGATTGGCATTTTAAGATAATGTTTTTCATTTCATTTTTTTCTATTAACTGAAACTAATTTCTTTTTAAAAAAATTAATACCAACCTAGCACACTTAATTAATTATGTGATATGCTTATTTTTTTAATATTTCAAAATCTTATAATACTAAATTCATTATAAAAAATGTGAAATTAATATAATGAGAAAGAAATTAAGATACATATCTTAATTATGCTTTTAAAAAACCATTAAATGTAGTGCAAGAAGGGACCCCCTTTACAAGATAGGGGTTTGATTTGATATGGACAGCTTTGGAATATTGGGAGACAACATTCATAATCCAAAGTTTCTCCTCCTTTTCTCTCACTCTTCTTCTTGATCCTTTCTTCATCTATATTCTTTTAGTCATACACACATTGCCTTTTTGTCACCCCTTTTCTTCTCACTTCTCGTTTCTATTTGCTGTCTTTCTATGACATCTTTTTGAACCATAGTAAATAGGATTAAAGTTTATTTCTTTTGTATAGTTTATTAAAAAAATTATTTGATAATTTTTTATATATATAATTTATTAAAATAAATTATTTTTAACTTATATTTATAAATTTTATGATTGTATTTATACTATAAGACACTGTATTAAAAAATTTATTAAATGGGTATTTAATTAAAATATGTATTAAATATATTTTAGATAGGAGAGGGTGTTTTTAAGCAACCTCTGCCCCCATTAAGTTAATGTACTCCAACCAATTTCTACTAATTCTAGTTGGTATAATACTTGTACAAGGTAATGTTATGAGGATGACTATTCTTTTAAAATGGGAATATATAGGAGAAGTGTAGTTATCACTTAATCACATGAGTTTTATTAGGACCTAGGATAGTTGTAGTAAAATGATATCAGCTGAAAGGAAAGTAAAGCAAGAGTATTATAGAGAGAAAAAAAGGAAATTAAAATTGTGTGGTTAGAAAAATAGACTATTATGTGTGAGAAAATTAAATCATAAAAAAATATTAATTAGTAGCTTAAAAGTATTGGTTAAAAATTTTAAAAATAAAAGATATTAAAATATTATTAATAACACACCGTAATTTTTAATGCATTTTTTGGTATAATTTTTTAATATGTTTTCTGTTTAATTATTTAAACACTGATTAATAAAATCCTTAAATTATTAAAAAAAATTCAAATATTTTACCTTACCCTATGAGTGAAATTTTAATGCTGACGAGTACTATACAATGAAGTTGATGCTAATAATTGTTTTCTTGTTAAAAAAATTAATGCCAGTAAATTAATAAGCCTTTAAGAGTGAGGTCTTAAGTTGAGGATCCTTTCATTAAAAAAATTGGCTTTAAACATTATTTTAAAATAAAAAACGTAATAAAGCTTAAAATGCAAATGAAAAATAATTTATTAAAAAAAAGGTTAAGTAAATGTAGTATAAATTAATTATTAATAAATGTAAGCTTGTGTGTTATTTATTCTTTCCATCTTAAAATAAATATTATTTTAAAATATTTCACAAGGCTTTAAAAATTAATATAACTGGGAGAAAAAAAAAGGTTGACTATCTTCTTCTTTTTAAGGGGAGGGGGGATTTAACACTTCATTTCTTAAAAATAAAATAAGTTATCCAGATTTTCTCTTACTTTGAATTTTTTTTATATATTCAAGAGTATATGATATAAATTTATTTATCCTATTAGATTATTAAATAATTTAAAAAAACATGCATAAAATAAATTTTATATTTTTAATATTTGATTATGTACGACTTCTAATCATATATTTGTAGATACATATTAAAAATACCCATTCAGAACAACTATCATTAGGAGGAAAAAAGACATTGTACCTATAGTAATTGTCAATTTAAAATTAAATGATAGTGCTTGGTTAAAAGTACTCTCCTGGTGAAGCACTTGAGTACTAAAATATTACAGTAAATATTTCATACTTTCTTTTATCAGCTTTTTAAAAGTGTGTTTAATGGTATGAAATGATAAATTAATAAATAATAAATTTTTTTATTAAAAATATAACATTTAGTATTATTAATATATTAAAATTTCAAATATTTTATTATTGTAATTTATATAGTTAAACATACATAAAAAAATAATTATTTTTATAAGTCTCATCTTCAAAACCTCACAGAAAAGAACTTGCATAATTATTGCAGAGTTAATAAAGAAAAAACCTTTTACCAGTGCCAGCTGTAAGTCTAAATATCAAGTTAAGATTATAGTAAAATTAACAAAGGAAGGTTAACAATACATTATTTTTAACATATTTATAATTATTAATTGAAATTTATTAAAAAGTATTTGAATGGCACTCATATTTAAGAAATAATTAAAAATGTATTATTAACATATTCTCGTAAAGGAAAGTGGATTAATAATGATAATGATGGCTAATTAATTTGTTGTTTCTTTTTGACCATGAGCATGTAGATGGACTTAAATAGATGTCATATCGAAGTTAACATGATGCATAGATGAATGGTGATGATGGGTTAGGAGCATGCTTAGGTGAAGCTGAAGGGTACATAGTTAGCATGACATGTTTGAATTGAATGGCAAAAACAGTCCCCACCTACAAGCAGGTTGGCAGCATAGGAGAGACATGGAAGCTTCTTTCATGGGGGTGATGACTCGGCTACCAATAGCATGGGATTTAGGCAAAGTGTTCAGTGGAACCATAACATGTCACCCCTTCTTTGTGCATTTGTCAGTGCATTATTGTATTTGTCTCAATGGTTCACCTCCCAAGTCCCAACTATATCTTCTGCATATATTCCACATTATCAAAGTCAAGCTCCCTCTCCATTGCTCTTTCATAATTTCAATTCATTACTATATGTTTATCAATATCCTTAGAATGTATTTGTAGGCTTTTAAAATTAAAATGTTACATAAAAAAATAGTTTTTAACAAATAACTAAAATTATATTTAATACATTCATTTATTTTTATCCCTTGCTTCTTGGTTTCTAAATGGGTGGTCTGTGTGTGTATGATGAGATCTTATCTGACAAAGACCTCATATTCAGTATCAATACAAAGATGATATACATGAAACTTGATATATATAATCCATAACATGGAAAATTAATTCTAAAATAAAAAATCACATCAACGTTTAAAATCTTCCAGCAAATGAGTAGTTAGAAGGAGCAGCACATGTAGAGATGGGTGCTTTTGGTGAATTTGACATAGCCCCAAAGATTGAGTGACTTTATGAATAGTCCACATCCTCACAGGCATGTAAATATACAAAGAATTATGTGCACTGTTAATGATTCCTCGGAAGAATTTGAAAAATGGCTTAAGAATTCAAAAGAAGACTCAAGTTTAAGATAGAAATTATTGAACAGAGGGTTCCAAGTCTTTGCTTGTCTGCTCCAGGTATTAGATAGAGTGACGCAATATGTCTGGATGGAAAATTACAAGCACATGCATGAAATGAAAATTTTGATTCCATGAAATATCACTTCTTTATAGTTAGGGTATAGAATCTACATAGTAGACACTAATAATTATTTCAAATAAGTTATGGAAGGAGTTAACTATGTGGAATGCTAAATTATGCATTATATGTGTACTTGCTTTAGTCATTCCCTGCACTGAGTGAACGCTGAGAAAAAACCTGTGCATGCTTACACTTTAGACGCAACACTACTGGTAAATATATTTTTTAAAATATAAATTAATTAAAATAGAAAAATACATTTTAATGCACAAAAATAGAATACTTGTTATTAGTAAAAATATTTATTATTATTTTTTAAATATCCGAGTAATCTAATTAAATAGTTACCTCTTCTCTATCACCTCCCTCCGTTACTTTTTTATAACTGTTATTTTTATAAGTTTTAATGTAATTTAAATTTTTATTATTATGAAATAAAAATACAAATAAATATTAATTATATTATTTTCACCTAAAATTATTTACTGATAAAAATATAAATAATAAATAAAATATTATATATATATATATATATATATATATATAATGAGCTCATATCTTATATTTTTATATAGGATTTCCTAATAAAAAATTATATACATGAAAAAATAAAATTAATAATAATAATGGTAATTATTATGATAAAATTGTGATAGTAATTATAATAATAAAAAATATTGATAATAAAATATAATGCTAATAATATAGTAATAGCAGCAACAATAAAGAATAACATTTATTAATACTGTTTTAAATAATCTTTCAT